GTAAATTCTATTTTTCATCTGACATTGTTTTTTATTGATTTAAATATGTATCTACTAAAATATAACAAGTAATAAGAAATTATGCATGCTTCCAAAATTGGAAAGCTAAAAATAAATGTCTTACAAAATCAGGGCATCAAATGATGTTTATGTATTATTTTGGTAGAAATTTTTTTTTTTTTAATTGTAAAACATTTAAGTTCACGTGCATTAAAGAGACCTTTTTTTAAAAAACACTTAATTTTGAAGTTATAAATTACACTGGCAAAAAGGACACATTTACTGATTACACTAAAATAAATTCCTATTATTCTATCTATTTAATACAATAGATATTAATGATCTCTAATAAATGAAAGTCAATAGTTAACAAGTTTTCAATTTTTTCAAACAAATAAAAGATCATTTTTCATATTTATCAAAACTGCTTGTTTTAAAGTCAGCCAACAAACAGAAGGGTGTGTGTTCTCATTTTTTAGCTCATATCAGTCTCATTCTTTTTAAATCTTATTTCTGATAAAGTTAATAGTAAATAATCGCTTTTTTCATTTGATCATTTACCAATAATCAAATGAAAAAGATGATTGATTCATTAATGTGCTCTTATTTGACATAAAGCATATAATTTTAAATTTCAACCAATGTTATTATTTTTTGTTTTTGTTGAAAAAAACTGAAAAGGTACTTTTTGTTTAGTTTTTTTCATTATGTTTTTTTTTGTGCTCTCTTCAGAAGAAATTGTAGGACAATTTTTACATTCATAAAATCAGAAAAGAAGACACTTGGACATATACAAGAAAAACATTAAAAAAATAAATAAACGCCAGTCTTCTTGTTCAATGAAACATAAGTAGGCCCTAGTGGTTGCTGCTCATATCTCTCATATCTTAGTTTTTTTTTTTTTGTTCGATAAATTCTAAATTAATAAGTGTTTGGTTGATCAATTATGAGCGAAAATACCACGTAAAAAACTGACTTTCAACTTAATAAAGAATAAGTCACCAAAATAAGTGACTGTTGTCAAAAACTGTACTTTCAGTAGAGTTTCTGTTTACAAAATGAAAACTCTCTAAACAAAGTCAAGAAGCATAAAGAAGACTTAAAAAATAACTTACCAGCAAATGTTTTCAAAGAATTATTGCTGGGTAAAAAAAAAAAAAAAAAAAAAACTACTATGACGAGTTTTTTTTTTTATATTACAGCGGGTTTTACAGGGAAAAGTAACCCAAAGAAAATGCAACCGGGAAATTCCTGCATGGGTTAATTTATTACAACCATAAATAGCAATGGCTGTTGTCGTTGACTGCTTAAAAATTTTTGACTATTATGAGAAAGTAATTTTTTTTAAAAAGTTTCTAACTCCGATCTATTGAAATAAAAGAAAAAATATTCAGCTGATGCGTAATCCAGCACGTAGATGTGAATCTTTCGCCTTTTATTACTGCGATTATTAACGCAGCTTAGTGAAGAAGAGGTAATGAAATAAAGAAGTAAAAAAAAAAAAGAAAAAAAAGTTACATGAGTAGTTAAACCAACATTCTAAAAAAAATAAATAAATAAAAAAGACCAAAATTGGAATTAATGATTTTTTTTTTAATTATGAAAGCAGGTGAAATATTTCAGCACGAAACAATAACATCATCAATCACTCTTCTTAGTCTTCAATAATCACACCAACCCGAGAATTTCTTGGAGTTTTAGTACTAACTTTCCGAAGTATTTGTTGAACTACATTTTTAAAAGACTTCTTTTCTAAATATTTAAAAGTTCACAATTATAAAGACTTTAAAATTTTTGTTTATTAGCTTCTATAATCAATGCAGTTAAAACTTAAAAAGGTGGAGAATGAGAATCAAATAATTAGACACTCGTCGGTTTTTTTGGGGGTTTTTTTTAATAAATATTTTATGTTTTAGCTTGAAAATTTATTAAAAAAAATCATGACAATTATTCGGAGTTTTAAAAATTAGGTTTTTTTTTAATTTACAAATATTATTGTACCTTACAAGAAAATTTAAGCATAATTTGTGTAGTGGCTTTAACTGCCTTACTTGATGTGAATGAATTCGATTAAAAAAAATAATCCAAATCAAGCAATAAAAAAAATAATTTAAAAAATAAAGTTAGGCTATGAAACTTTAAAATCTAAAAATTTTGATCCATTTTAATAATTTTTTTATATTAGAAATTACAACTTATTTTAATCGGATTTTTTGGTGGGGAGGTGGGGAGAACGTCATGTTATTTAATTTAAATTACACAAGACAAGATAACAGTCCATTTAGGTCAGACCAGGTCTTGTCTTAAAATAAATTTAAATACCTACTTAGTTCTACTTACTTAGCTATAATTAATACTTAATAGAGAAACTATGCGTCCATGAAAGAAACTTTTTAGCAAGTATTTATTTGCCAATTAAAAATATTTCTAATTTTAGGCTTTAAGCCAGAAACAATTTAATCTGAAAATGTAAACAGTTGAGTTTAAACTTAAACAGTGCCATGGAAAGTGTCATTTTTTTTCAAACAATTCTATGACATTCTTTGGGTGGAGGGTTTACTTTAAATTGATAGAGTTCATCATGTTACTTAGTTACTAAAACAAAATCATCGTTACAAATATTTTACATTTTTAATAAATTGTTATGCTGTTAGTTTGAAAGCCGCATAGCAAAGAAAGGAGATACATTTTTCAAATTTCATTTTTATATTGATTCAGGAAATAAAAAAAAAATTATTAAATCATTAACAAATCAAAATCGCGCCACCCACGAACTTTTTACTTGATTAATAATTAATCATAATTACATTCTGAATTAAGTAAAAAGTGAGGACACATAAGTGTTTTTAGAGAGTAAATAAAAGTACAAATAACACAGTAAAACTAAAACAGCTTTAAGTGAAATTTGAAATAGATTATTTAACTTTTAAAAACGTGCTCTGTTTTCTTTTTCTTTTTTTCTTCGCCATTATACAGAAACAAACAGAGAAAAAGAAATGTTACGGTAAGATTATCGAGGTAACCTGTTGGAGGAACGGTATGAGAAATCCCATACGTGTATCTTTTACAACCTGAAGATATTTTGGTAGATAAGAAAGTAGTAGACAGATTGGTGAACAACAACAACACCACCAATGTAGGAGGAGGAATTCTATAGATTTTTACGCTTTTACAGCATCATCATCACATCTAGTAACGTTTCACAGAGTTAAGAAGAGGCGGTACAGTACATCAAAATAATCGTAGTTTTTCTGTCGGACTTCTTAACTTTTATCATGAAACTGAATACACGGACGAGGGGATGAAACAAAAGTTAACTTAGGTTTTGGCTAGTGCGTGTGACCAATGAATAAATATAAATTTATAATGATTTGATGCTACACTATAGCGTGAATTTATCAAGTATAGATTTTTTTTTTGTTGTTTTATTTTTAAGTAATACAAAAAGTTAATGTAACGCAAATGAGAAGTAATAACAGTTAAAGTCTATTCCCAAAAAATTCAAATAAAATGTAATTAATAATCTAAATAAGCTAGGAGAAATATCTAATAAGTTTTTAAAATAATGCTGATGTTATTGACATGCAGTGTCTAAAAACATGATGGCTGCTTGTAGGTAGGATTGGAGCCAAAACCTTCAAATTTTTTCAAGCTAAAAATATCGCCTAGAACATTTTTCAGGAATTGGTCTTTGTAAGTTTGAAGAAATATAAGAGGACACTTTCTTTTAGAGTATAAAAAGAAATTATAACTTTCAAAATTGTTTGAGAAAAGAAAAAACAAATTTATATTCTATGAATTTGTTTATGATGCTATTTTTTAATAGCGTTTTTCTTTTCTTATTTTAATTAAATTATAGTTACGTTATCATTTTAAAGTTTTATTTAAATGGAAAATCAATATCTTATTTTCATGAAACAGTGTTTTACTGTTTTTTTTTAGCAATGAATATCAGATAAACAAGATAGAACTTTTGAAAACACATTTTAAAAAATTAAAAAAGAACGATCATAGCATTTAAGTCCCAAAATAACTTATCAAAAGTTTTTCGTTTTTTTAATTATACAATTCAAAAATCGGATTTCTTTTTAAAGGAACACTGTTTAGTGTTTAGTGTTACAATACATCAAAGTTTGAATCCAGTTCAAAGTTCATCATTGCTAGTAAAAGAGAGAAAAAGATCATAAACAATTTTTTTTTTGTTTAAATTTTGAATGCACATTAATTACTTTTTTTTTTCCTCGAGATCGTAAAATAAAATGCAATCAAAAATCGTTTCGTGTATCAAGCTCGGATTGGAGAAAAATCACATGACAATCTATATAAAATAATACTGCAGACAAGCAAGAAAACTTTGTTTACACATTTTATAATTTAATATTTTCTGACACTCCAAAACAAAAATCCATGTTGTCAAAAGTTTTAAACAAGCTGTTTTTGCAGTATGAGAAATGCTAAAAAAAAAGATCTATGCACTAATTCTTCTTACATTGATGTAAATGTAAAATTAAATTACTATTATTAACCTAATTATTGATTAAAAAACCCTAACACTTGGGATAAAAGTAAAACTAGCGAAAACAATTACAGTCAAGTTTTGAAAGTTCAAATAGAAACGTTTCAAAAAGCAAAAACAGACATTTTAATAAGAAAAAAAAACTTTTTTTAATCAATCGTACAACTTAGAAGACAGAAAATTAACTTTTTATTTTCAAAAAAAGAAAGTCAAAAAGCAACGAATGTCAATTTTTATTGACCAACAAACCACTTGAAGAGCAAATTTAATCGTTGCACGTGAAAATGGACTAATCCTGCTTATTTATAATTAGATCAAACTTGCGGTATAGTGCAAATTAATGGTATGTTGTTGTAAGTTCGTAATGTAGGCCGACACTTTTAGTAGTACTCTTGCTTGATACGATCTATTTTGGAATAGAATTATTCTGAAGAGGAAATCAGTTTTGAGGAGTAAGTGACAACGACAGACAGCTGTTTCTTACCTGATGGAGTTAAAAAGAGTGGCTGATCGTTGCGCCATTAAATTATAATCTCGGACTAAAGATTCCAGGAAAGTTTTTTTTCACGAATTTTTCTCAAGCGTAACATAGATGAGTAACATGGCGACCAAACACCAATGCGCATGCCTCATACTGCAGCTTCCGGCCGCGATGTCCACACAAGATAATATAATTTCTATATTTTGGAGAAAGAAATCACCAGACTTATCTTGCTCTTCTCCTGTTCACTTTCATTAAAAACTTAAAAGCTTTATGTCTCCATTTAAAAAAAAGAAATTTAATTATTTTCTCTAGAATCATTTTTTGGCAAATTTAAAAGATTAAAGAAAAAATATGAGATAACCTTCATTATTATTCATTTTTCTTCTGTTCACAAATTAATACATAATAAAACCTCAAGGTTTCATATCATAGTTAAACAAGAGTGGTTTATAATGCATATAAATTCTATGGTACTGTTTTAAATATTTATACTTAAAGAAAATTAACAGTCAAATCTCCTTATAGATGTTAAATATTTGTATATGGAAAGAACAGAAAAGGTTTGCATATGAGATCAACAGATATTATGTATAACAGACTAAGTTTGCATTTCCAACTATAAAAATTATATAAAATATTAATGTTTTTCTAGGAAAACCTTACAAGTTTAACAATTCCTCAGTTAGGTTGTAGGGATATCCACAGGCTCAGTGGAAATAGTAATAACAATAAGTGAACAGTTAACCAAAACAAGATAACTCTAGACATGGACAATGAAATGAGAACAATCTACTCCTGTACATTAAATAAAGGGTTTAGTTTGAAATTCCCAGAAAATTATCAAAATTGACTTGCTTTAGTAGCTTGTGTATTACTACAAAACATATATCATAAAATTAACGGAGCTTTTTCATTCATTTTAGCCTAGGACTTGTCACCCCTCCTTCAAGTAATCATTTTCAGCTTTTTATAATGCAGTTGTTTTTATTAAGATTGAAGATAAATATTTTAATGCTAAAAAATTTTATTCTGTTAAAATGACAATTATTTGTAGCAATTGTTTATAAATACAAGATTGGAAAATGTCTGACTGGATTTCTTTCTGAATTTCTGGCATGGGGAGTTATCATTATTTACACTATTTATATTCGGATTATTGTCCTTGATTTGTTGTTATCACAACATGTCAGCCATTATGCCCTCCATCCTTTATCAATTGTACATTGATCTAGGTAACCTGCAGAGAATTCTTTATTTAATCTACAGGGGTAGACTGTTCTTGTTCCACTGCCCATGTGTAGGAATATCTCATCTAGTTCTTATTTTTTGTACTGCTCAGTTATTGCCAACCCATTTCCACAAAAGGGTTCAGTTCAGAATTACCTGTAGGTTACCTTGATCCATATACACCTGAATAAGGCTGGAGGGAACAACAGCTGAAACATCATGATAACAACAACAAAGATGAGGACAATAGTCTGGATATAAATAGTGTAAATAATGATTGGATTTATTTAAAAATATGTCAAAACTTGCATTCACTTTAATAGTTGTTATATAGAAATACTAAAGACAAAAATACAGCAAATACTAAAAGCATATATTGGAAATTATTTTACTATAGAAATACATAATTGGAAAATGCCTAATCTAGGCACCATTAAAAATTCTTAATTTTGTGTTATTTTAAAACTCTTCCATTGTTAAAGATGCAGTTCTGCTAAATATTTAAACTTGTCAGGCTAATACACTTCAAATACAAATTTTGTTAAAGATTAACAATTTAGGAATTATTCCTTTCAGACAATGTCTTTTTGCTGCTGACTTTTTCACTTTTCTAATTTATACACTTCCCTAATATTTAACTTGAGGAAAAATGGGTGTGTGTTGTAAAAAACTAGTAAATGTATGCTTGTGACTATAATTGGCAAAGTTCTGCAATTATACATGAAAGTTTTGTTCTAAAGAACATAGTTCTCTTTCTCATAAAAAGATACAAATTGTGGCTGACTATAAAAATTCATTGTATTTGACAAAACCTGTACCTATCAAGTATAGAGTGACTGGAGATAGACATTGTTATTCTAAATGATTAATCTTCAAGATCTTAATTAGATAACATAAGTCACAATGATCAGATAAAAGTTATTAATAGTACAATGAAATGTTATTGTTTTCAGAAATAATAATGACTGATTATTCACAAGTTTTCTAAACTGAGGAAGGAAAACAGTTTGATAAAGTTACCAAAGTTCTTTGGGCAAAGTTTAATAAATGTACCTTCTAAAAATGCTATGTCAAAAGGATGGTTTTTCACATGACACAGTTATTATTGTATACTCGCTCAGTAATTTTTATCATTTTAAAAACTTGTGGGGTCAGCCTACCCAGATTTTAGGTGGAAATATAAAATTCGAGTATCGTGTCCACAAATACAACCCAAAATCATAAACAATGTGAAGAAATGATCTTCGCAGAAAATGAAGAAGCCCAAGCTAAATATGACAGTAACATTTATACAGTCAGATACATATATTTACATATTAAAACTGTTCTTTGTTGTGGCCATGAAGAGACCAATAGTTTGGTTGTTCCAAATGATTTGTCGCAAGGAGTCTGCAATATTTGAAGTGATTTTGTTGCAAGTGAGGAAAACAAACAGTATGTACGCCAATATGTGTGTATGTGTGTAAAGTACACACTAATGAAATGTGTGTGACTGCTGACTTATTGTGTGTGCTAGCAATAATTTTAAATACTGTGAACAAAGTGGGTGAAGAGTCAGGATTTACTTTCATCATGGCTTTGTATGTTTTTCAATGTAGTAAAATCATTGCTTAATGATACATTATCATGGTAACATGTGTCTCTGCTCTTGATCAAGGCATGGCCTGGTTCACTGACTGTCTATTCACAGATCTAGTGGCTGGCTGTTCGTTTCACTGATTGTTCGTTTGTCTCTGCTTGCAAGCTGTTTTTATAGTTATGGCTAACTGGTGCTTGTATCTGAATCACTATCTGAGTTTTGTGCAGGAATGTACTTAGTAACCCAAACTCTAACCCTTTTCCAGATCATTTGGAGTTCAACTGCACAGACAACATAAAAAGCACATAATGTGACTTGTCTTATCTAATCAGGTTCCAGGTTAAGGTTCCATAATGGTTTTAGTGATACAAGTTTTACCAATTAACGTATAGCTAGGGGGAGAAGAGGTGGATTCATACTTTTCCTAAATTGCTCCGTGGAGCTGCACTTGCTGGTTCCCAGACTTCATGAGTTCAAGCGCCCTACGAGGCTGGCATCCCGCTCTCACCCCTTCACTGTCGAAACTCCTAAATGTAGCCATCTCTTCTACTCTAATAGCTTCATGTCTCGCACCTCTCGCCTGTGGAACTCTCTTCCCTTCTCCTGTTTCCCTGTGAGTTATAATCTCCAGCTATTCAAGTGTAATGTCAATCGACATCTCCAGTTGCCCTAATCTATCTACTACCCTCATCCTATCTTCTATCACTCCTATCTGATCTTCCTATTTTCTGTAACCCCTTGCGTCCTAGTGGCTTCCCACCTTGCTTGGGGTGAAATGCTTAAAAAAAAAAAAGAAAAAAGAAGGTATTTGCACATAAGTGAATATAATGAACCCAACTGGAATTTGAACTCACTTCTCCAATTAACAATTCTAAGCCATTATCAATTACATCACCAACACATCCAAAATTACAGCACCTGGTATTCACAAGCAGTAACCCATCTAGGTACTTAGCAGGCTCAGTATTGTTTAGCTTTGGTGATCATACGGGAACCTGTGTTTCAATGTCATGTACCCATAAGCGTATATTTATCATTTGTTTTCATAATTATTTCTTTATAATATAGTAAATAATAAATATTGCATAACAGTTGTCTCTCATATTTTTATAATTATTAAATTAAGTATTAAATTATTCTTGTAAATAAAGCACTTTCTAAAGAACTAACAGATTTTTTATTCATTAATCTAACAGATTTTATCATTTTAAACGTTATTAATCTGATAGATTTTTTATCATTTTAAACATTATTTATCTGACAGATTTGTTATCATTTTAAACATTATTTTTAGTGGATACCCATATTTGAGTAGATATTCTGTTTATCTATTAAACAGTATATTTATTTATTTTTGCCTACCAGACTGAATATTCAATAAATCTTATTAAAGAAATATATATGCTTTCTGGGCAGAGGGAAGTAACATTCTTTAGACTGACTTGGCCATCAAGAACTTTTGTCAATCAAGCAAGACTGACTAGTGGCTTTAAGCAAAATCCTTCTTGTCATAGATTCTTAAAATTTGACATCGGCTCAGTTTCATATTTAAATGTAAACAAAGCAATGTCTAAAGAAGTAATGGATTTTTTATTTATTAATCTGACAGATTTTATCACTGGCAACAATTCCTTGTGGCTGAGTTGGTCTAAAGTATGTCAGATCTAACAACGGTTCCCTCTGCCCAAGGGTTGCACCTTTCAATCCTGCCAGATATTTTTCTTTAATAAGATTTATTGAATATTCAGGCTGATAGACGAAAATAAATAAATATAACTGTTTAATAAGTAAATAGAGCATCTACTCAAATATGTTTATCCACTAGAAATAACGTCTTGTAAATAAACAATCTAATAAATAAACAGTATTTAACATTTTTGTTATTAATTTTCGAGAAAAAAGAAAATGTATAAATCTCAACTTACATTTGGGTTTTATTAAAATTTTTAAAATAGCATTTTAAAACAACAAAAACTGACAAAGAGGTATACAGAAATAGCTGTGTCAGAGAAAAATTTTCCCTTTGATAATTTTTTACAGGTATTTTTTTTAAACTTTGCCACTCCTTGCAACAAATTAAATTTAGCTCTTGTCAGTAAGATGGGCAAATTAATTTTTAGATGAGTTTTATACATTGATGGCCCTAGGGTTGCTGGCACTCTGGGAAAGCTGAATTTTGGCACCTTTACAAGTCCAATTTTTTTAAAATTTTCACAAAGAGAAAAAAATGAAAATGTAGAATAACAAGTTTATTACAATATACAACTTAATACAAGATAAAGAAAACATTCATTATCCTACCTAAACTCTGATATTTATAGTATTTTTGGGTTTCCAGTTCTTTCTAAAGTCGTTTCACATCCAGTTGCATCTTAGTGGCATTAGCACCAAGCTTAGGGTGAATTGATTTAAAAAAAACAAAGATTGGCATGTTGTAAAATCAAAGCAACTAATTTGGATATGAGTAATGGCTAATAAGGCTAATCTGGTCAACTATTAATACTGAGTAGTAAATTTGATTCTAACTAGGTAACCCTGTACAAAATTTATCAATAAATAATCTAGCAAGGATTGACATGTCATAAAATCAACCAATAACCCAATAATTAGTATTCTCAAAGATGTGTGTGTAACATAATGGTTAACAGTTCAGAAAGTGAAATCAGTGAGTGCAGTTCAAGTTCCTACCAAGTCTGCTGTGTTCATTTTGCATTGATACCATTGAGAAAGAGTTAAATCCATATTTTCAGTAATAGGTTAAATAACAATGTAGACTAGGCTGTCTAGTCTTGAGCTGCAGCCAGTCTAGAAGGACAATTTTTTAATTATAAACTGTGAAAAATCAATGGGAAACTGTTGTGATGTCCTCCCTCTAATCTTCTGCCTCGTAGGAGAGAAGGCCTTGGGGGAGTAGTTGAATAGATTGAACACTGCGTCAACCAACACACACTCACTAGTTGTGTAATATGTTTCTGTTATACTTACTGTTTAATATATGATATCTCTGTAACACTTGTTTTTGTTATTTCTTTAACCATTTACTTGGTCACAACATCTTATTTCATCCTCGTTGCCAAGATGTTGTGACCAAGAAAATGGTTAAAAAAATAACAAAACAAGTGTTACAGAGATATCATATATTAAACAGTAAGTACAACAGAAGAGTATTACACAACTAGTGAGTGTGTGTCTGTTGGCCCAGCATTCGATCTATTCAACTATTCCTCCAAGTTCTTCTCTCCTACTAATCTTATAGTAGGCGAAAGAGTCCAACATAGACTCTTTAAATGGAGGCCACCACAACAGAAACTATACCACTATCTTTTCAAAGATGTCTTAGCTATTCACTGATAATAAAGTAAAAGAATCAGTGAAGAACCCATATGTATGTAGGTTAGGTGAGGCTTAGACCTGATACTGGTAATATGTAACTCAGTACAACCTGTCACATGGATGGATGGTTGGTGTCTAAACCAGCTTCCTCACGAGCTTTTCTGATGGTGAGGTGGGTGGCATGTCAATCTGCAGGATGAAAAACAAAACCTGTCAGAGCAAATGATCTTCTTATATGAGCCAACAGCTAATATTTATAGTGTGGGGATGTAGAAATACCTGGGATGGTGTTAGATGTTAGATGCAAGTAACCCCTAGTCCTTCCTAGGACTGTCCTGGGTATGACAATAAACTGCATGAAGCAGTAAATCCTCTGATCAGGAGGTTTTGAGGAGCATAGAACCACCTTTTAATTGCTGTTGTCCCCAGGACCACCCTAACCCAGGGCAGTAGCACCTGTTAGGAACCCAGCTATGGGCAAATAGTGAACCCTAAACAAAAACAAAACACTATGAAAATTCAAAAATTCATTTTTATAGTAAAAATATCAGAAATACATTTTTATAAAAAAAAAAGAAATTCCAGTAATACATATTTATAGTAAAATTATGAAAATTACTTCAAAGCTGTCAAGAAAATCAAATTTTAGCATTAAATAACCCATACGGAGTTGATATGTCATTAAATAAATAAATCAATCAGTATGGTAGCATCTGTTAGGGTCCCAACTATAGACAAATAGTTAGCCCCCAAACTGGGGTCAAAACACTATGAAAGAATAAAAATACATTTTCATAGTAAAAATACCAGCAATACATTTTTGAAGAAAAAAAAACATGTTCCTGATGCTGGTGGTATCACGGCTATGACTAGCTTGGACATGCTATGACCAGCTTGGACTAGCTATGACCAGCTAAGACCAGCTTGGACCAGTGGCCCAAGTGAAAATACTTGGGTCTCCACATAAAAAAATTACCTTGTTTCACAACTTGACTCAGTTTCAAGTAAATTTCTACTTGTAAATGAAATTGCTAATGCCCCAAGAAAATTAAATTTTGGCATTAAATGACCCATAAGAAATTGATAAGGTGTGAAACAACCAAACCCTCTTTTTTAGGACACTCTTAGAAGTGATGGACCTCTGGTTCTTTTTGGGACATTCTCCTAAGAAAGTGAAACTCATATATAAAACTTGAAGCTCACTTGATGTCTAGTCATCTCAACTTTTGTTGTGTCACTCATGCTATAATTAATTGTGCTAAAAAGTGGGTTTAGTGCTGTGCAGCATTCTATCCACTATCAAAAAATGTCCCCACAGGAACCTCTTGTACTGTTTGGGAAGTTATTTCAATGACATGGAAATCATCCCTGAAATGTTTGTTTGGGAGTTATGAGTCCTGGGTAGGGGAGTCTTACTTGGTAACAAGTTGACTTCCACCATCTATGTATGTATGTTTACACTGTAGATTTCACAGTATCCTACCCTGTTCCTTGCAGTGTCTTTTTACTATCTCTCCTCCCCTTGTTTTGCCATCCATTTACACAAGTTCATTCTGTAGGTAACTCACCACTTCCCTCTGTCATTCTTGCCTTCGATATGTCCTGTGAGTGAAATTTTCCAAGCCTTTCCAGTATTTCTCTTGATGTTTAGTTATAACTGACATTTGTTTATATTTTTATTCTCTCCTCTTACATATATATGATTGATATGACAATATATATTTTTATATATCAAGAACAGTATTGGAAAAGTTTACTTGTGACATGTTTCATCCTTCAGGACTTCATTGGACAGAATTTGTTATGCTGCTAGGACTGCATATGCACAGGACAGAGGGGTGCTGGGAATTTTAATTCTTTTTTTATCTAGTCATATTCATTTATAGTCTTTTTCTTTTTCTTTCCATCACTTTTGTAAGTAGGTATTGCACACTTTGATATTAGAATATCTGCCAGGAATAGTGAAATGTTGCAAGAGCCAGGGTGCAAATTTACTGTGATTAAGGCACTATCTAGACATTTACATCATCGTAAATTATATTCTTCTTTGATCAAAGTAGCATTTTTTATGTCAAAATTGTGGTCAATCTTGTTATAGTGGGCAATCAATGCATATGATGTATATGAACACAAAAGGGGCATTTTACAAAATAATATGTCAAATACAGCTAGATAAAAAAAAAAAATTCTAAAATTCCCAGCACCCCTCTGTCGTGCGCATGTATAGTTCTACCAACATAACAAATTCAGTCCAACAAAGTCCTGAAAGTGAAACACATCACAAGTAAACTTTTTCCACTTTGTTATAAGATTTTCCCATAAATGATTTCATCAATAAAAACATTATTTAATCTGAAGAAGTCTTTTTGAAGGATGAAATGCATTATATAGGATAATAATTGTTTAACAACTTTTATTTCTGGTTGAAAGAAAAGTGCAAAATAGTAATATTTTGCAGCAAAAATGTGAGTTTTTTTCATTTAACAAAGTTCTGAGTAGATGTTTTGTTGAGAGATTTCTCTGCTAGTTCCCACGGGAGGAACAAGAAATCTGAGTGTGAAACTGATAGGATTGATACGAGTCTTCTGTAGCAAGTGTTGTGTGTAGGTTTTCCTTTGGATAGGTGTCTCAAAGGGAGATTTCTTCGTTTGGTCCTATGGGAGGAACAAGAAATC